ACTCTTGTTGCCCAGGCTGGAGTGCAATGGCATGACCTTGGCTCACTACAACCTCCGCCTTCTGGGTTCAAGCGTTTCTCCTGCCTCAGCCTCCCAAGTAGCTGGGATTACAGGCGCACACCACCACATCCTAATTTTTGGTACTTTTAGTAGAGATGTGTTTTCACCATGTTGGCCAGGCTGGTCTAAACTCCTGACCTCAGGTGATCTTCCCACCTCGACCTCCCAAAATGCTGGGATTAGAGGCAAGAGCCACCACGCCCGGCCTCTTGTTGTCCTTTAACTCTTATCTTTCCTTTCCTTTTCTCATGTTTCCTATCCTCTCACTTCCTCCTATCTGGTCTTCACATTGTACTTTTATCCACACCCCTATATCTTTCTTTTTCTCTTCACTCCCCAGCTATATTCATCACCTGCTCTATTTTATGATGCAGTTTTCTTTTTACTCATTCATTATTGAATCTTCTTTTCTTGCCAGTCCTGCTTCTATCTTCAGCTGGCCATTGTGCTTAAATGAGCATGTCAGTGTGTGTGTGCGCGCGCGCGCGCGCGTGTGTGTGTGTGTGTGTGTGTGTGTGGTGTTGGAGGAGGGCAGGTAGGAAAGAAGAGACAATAGTTGGTGTTTATTACAACTTCATGTTTTCCTATTTCAATAATTTGAGCATCCACCGTTAAGATGCCTCCCCTCCTCTCTGCCTATCATCATGTTCCCAGCTCTGATACACACTCTTTTAAAATGGCATTTAATTTAGTGAACAGGAGCTAGAGACAGTAAATGGAAGGCATCACATCAGAGCACTTAGTAAAATAAACTGGACTAAGAGAAAGCAGTTTACTACATATGCCCTTGGTGATGGTGATTCCTCAGAATAAAGTAAAAAGGATAGGCAAGAAAGAACAAGAGTACAGGCTGAATTGGACTTGGTGCAACACAGAAGAGGCAAACCCATCACATTCCAGTTACCAATCTAGAACTAGTGAACTTAAAGGAACTGCCCCAAGCCAAGAAATATCCCATGGTTGATGGCTGAACACATTAGTGCATGGAGGATAAACATTATAAACAAGGAGTCATTTTCCATCTCATTATTTTAATCATTTTGTTAAAAAATCTGAAATGTGTACATAAATACTTGATTTGTTAAAATAATGTGTAGCATAGAAATCCCTGAGACACATTCAAAAATGATTTGACATGTATTCAGTGCAAGGATTCACCAAACTACCAAGGGCTGGGCTCCTTTCCCTGATATCAGAGGCATATAATGCTTTAAAATATATATAGTATATTATATATGTAATTTACATCTTTAAAGCTAAATCAGATTGTCTGATTCCTGGTTTTCTACCAGTTTACTTGTCAGTTCCAGACTGTAAGGAAGCCACATTGGAAAGCACATTAGCACTTTCAACCCTGGGGTGCCAGTTAGTAGAATGATAGCAAGTGGAACGGGGAGGTGATTTTGTCTAATCACCTCATTTTGCAGTTCATGTGACAGAGGCTCAATGGGGTTGTGATTTGTACAAGCATGGCTGGTTCTGCCACTGCTAATGTAATCTTACACAAATCCTTCAGTGGTCCTGGACCTTGGCTCCTTCCTCAGGAAAATGGACTGATGATAATCACAGTGAATATTTTCCAGGTACTTCCTACAAGCCAGGCACTATCCTGAGTACTTTAAATGTCTAATCTGTTGTCTCAACACCTCCATAAATTATATATGCAAAGCTTGAAATAGTTACTCTCTGGAAAACTGTTTGCCAATCCCCAGTATAGATCCTTGAAAATTTAGAACATCTTATAATCATATAGCACTTTACGATATACAAAGCACCTTGGCATATATCATCACATTTAATCCTTGTTTTGTAGGGAGATGGGCAATCATGCATTATAAAGAGAAAGTTAAAACTCAAAAGAGTTTAAGTAACTTGCTTCATCAAGGCCACAGGGGCAGAAAATTGTAGAGTCACATACCCAGGTTCTGATTCCAAACTGCAAGCTCTTTACATGAAACCACCCTGTGTCCCCTAAATTACTGCTAGGGAAAGACTTGGAAACTGGAAAGAACCTGTGAATACTGAAAGAAAGTCAGACTTTCTTCTGATACAAATGTCATTCCAGATGCATTTATGTAATTAAAGTCATCAAGCACTAAAAATACTAAATTTGTAATAAATTTAAGGGAAAAGCCTTAAAGGAGGACATGACAATCATAGGAAAGGCATTTTGAAATACATACAGTGCATTGATATGCATTTTTCTTAAGGTATGTTAGAGCTGAACCTACTCAATTTAGTATATGTAAAATAAAATGAGCAATTGCCACATTTATCTTGCTCTCTGATGAGATTAGTGTTGAAAAATTGTTCCATATTAACAACTTGTATGTGAATAAAAATGCAATGGCCAGGCACAGTGGCTCATACCTGTCATCCTAGCACTTAAGGAGGCTGAGGTGGGTGGATCATGAGGTCAGGAGTTCAGAACAAGCCTGCCCAAAATGGTGAAACCCCATCTGTACTAAAAATACAAAAAATTGGCCGGGCGTGGTGGCAGATGCATGTAGTCCCAGCTGCTCAGGAGGCTGAGAAATGAGAATCACTTGAACCCAATAGTCAGAGGTTGCAGTAAGCCAAGATCACGACACTGCATTCCAACAGGGGGAACAGTGTAAGACTCCATCTCAAAAACAAACAAACAAACAAATGCAATTATACCTTCCTCATGCTAAATATTCCATAAATATATGGTTAGTTTTAAATGGACTTAATACTAAAAAATTGGTAAAATAATAGATACTAATTTAACTATAAAGCTTTACCAAAACAAAACAAAAAAAAATTATTTTCAAAGAAAGCTTAGGTTCTTCTTCTAGTTTGCAAGTTCAAGCTTAATCTAAATGGTAATCATGATTCCTGAAATATAGCTTAGCTATAGGGACTAATTTGAAATACACAATATGAGGCACCATCCTTTTTATTTCAGATTTATTCTACAAAATACCTTGAGATTTAATTTTAGGCCTATAAATAGAAATGAGGACATCTTGAATCACTGCAAGCAAAGAAGGAAGATATAAAATCAATGATTGGGTGTCTGCTATTTTGGGTACCTTCGTTTACTTCCTGAAATGCTCAAAATGAGCTTGTGAAGTATTTTCCTCAGTCATTTTACAGATGAGGAAGCTGACGCTCAGGGCTACGACTAATTTACCCAATGTCACATAGCTGGCATTCAAATCTAAACTAGGTTATCTTTAATACCTGAACTCTTTCCCACTGCCCCATGTAGAATCCCAGTAACACCAAGATCACTGACTGTTATCTTATAAAAACTCATTTTAAGAATTGAACTTTTATCTTTATTGAGTGGCTGGCACTTTGTAATTGTAATTCTGCCCACACTATAATACTTTAATGAGGACATTTTATCCACAGCTTTTCATTTCTCCTTTCAAGAAGAGAACTGAAGCACCTAGATTTAAGTGAGCTTTTCAAGTATGTCTGCAAAAAAATGTAGAAGTAAAACTTGCTTTATGATTTAGATAATTGCACTAATCAAATACAAACGACTATTTACAGCAGAACTCTGTATAAAACTAGTTAATCTTGACTTTACCCACAATAAGTAGTCACTGAAGGTCCTTATTCTAATAAGTGGAGGAGAAAACTCACATTATTTCAAGCTTTAAGTCAACTAACTTTCTAATATTGATTTATGGCATCATTAAGACTGTCACAGTAATCAATCAGGCCCTGCCAATTGTTTTATCCGTCACCATTTACTTTTTGGAAGTGATAGATTGTAAGAGCCCTAACAAGGAGGACCTTGTCTTGTATAATTCTCTGTCCTCCCTAGGGCCCCAAGCTCAGTATTTGGCACAGAATAGGCACGCAGTGGCACCTGCTGAATATGCTGCTCATTCAGTAACTTGTCAAGTCAATGCATGTATGTTCAAGTTTGATTCCATAGCACAGTCTCAAGGGCACTGGAAATGTGAGGATATGCTATATTACTACATTGACTACAACGGGAACCTGCTGGCATCAGGGAGAAGTGCAGATTTAGCCTTTAACAAGAGACAGAGTAAGTTAATAGTAGGCACTAACGTAGTTCCTAGGATCTAAACATTTAAGAACTGACAGAGATAAACAAAAACTGCCACTTACAAACATCATGAAACTTTTTTTCCTTTTACATGATTCCATAATGTAGTGCAGTACCTTTCACCGTTCTGCAGAGGGTAGTACCAGCAGCCCTGCAGGACTGGCATTCTAGTTTAAATTTCAGGTCCAGTAAAGACATGAAATAAATAATTTTGTGAAAATGACACTGTGGCTTCCTTTTCTTCTGTCTGTAAACAAAGGCTGGTTTTCTGGGAAGAGGGAAGAGGGTTGCTTCTGCTTTATTTTCACATCTGTAATTTTAATATACTTAAAAAAAAATCCAGGGTATAGGAAAACATAAAGACAGAATAAATAAATTAGGAAATGGTTATTCACATTGTAAAGGGATGATTCTCCATAGGGTTTCATTAAATACTGAACTCCCCTAAGTCAATGAATTTGGGACTTGATTTAAACGCAGCTTTTCAGGAATACATTTCTTAGGTAAAGTGAGGTACACCCGTGTATTCATCTTAACTCTCCTCCAAGGACAATCCAGCATTTTGCTTCCATTCACAGGACAGGGGAACAGACAGTACCTGTTAATCAAGTCAGAGGCCCCTCTTGGACTGCCCTCCTCACCCTTCTCAGGAGCCGAGGCTGTGAGGAATCTAAACAACAAAACCCAGCAGCCACAGTCCTTCCACTCGCCACCAACAAGCCTCCTTCTAAAACCAGAGATTTGCTTCACCTTGGTCCGGAAAAATGTGAGTTGGGAACAGTGTGTATGAGATTTAGAGGCTGTACGGGACACAAATACGGCCTGTGGCAGACGAGGAAATTCAGAGAAACCGCTTCAACTGCTTCTTGCAGCTAAGTGATTTCATTTCTGCACTGGTTACAAGGTGAGGAAGAGCCCCCTCCTTTACCCCTAAACAATGATGCCCATCAACAACAAAGGGAGCCCAGCTGCTAGCTCTGCAAAAAATATGGATCTGGGCCCCCATTTCTGTGCTAATATTAATTGGTAAATCGCGTTTTTCCCATAGAGCAAAAAATGGGTGTTTGAAGAACTTAGTCCCATGATTCAGCAGTCAAGACGATGCACATTAGAGGTTCAAAAAGCTGACAACTTGGCCTCCCCTGGGTCACTTCCAGGGGAGGGTGACCTCACCGCTCAAACCAGCTGGCCAAGTTGCGTATGCTTTTGGGCCGGTCCCCAGCCCTCTGCACAGCCTGGCAGACCCGGCACCAAGGCTCGTCCCAGAAGGAGGTGATGTGGACAGCGTAGCTCCGGCGCCAGTGGAAGTAGCGGAGATAGACGGCAGGGTTGCGGTCAAGGAAAAGCAAGTAAGTGGCCAGGGAGGAGGCATTTGGGAAGTCGTCCACGTGGATGAAGGCGCCGCGGGGCATGAAGCGCTCGTAGTTGGCACGGTCTGGGCCCAGCACCACTGGCACCGCCCCGGCGAGCAATGCGTTGCGCCAGAGCTTCTCGGTGATATAATCCAGGTGCTGCGAGTTCTCGAAAGCCAGGTAGAACTTGTAGCGGGCCACTGTGTGCAGGAGCCCGCTTTCGGGCACCGGCTGCCCGGGCCCGCCTCGGCCGAACACGTCCACGGCCACGTGCTGGCTCAGCTGGTGGTAGTAGCGGACCCGGGCCTGGCGCTCGTCCCAGTGGCTCACCACCCAGGCCACCAGCCCCTGTTTCCGGGACAGCGGAGGGGCCAGGCCTGACGGCTGTTCGCCAGGGTGGCTTCTGGGGTGGAGGTAGCCATAAGGCACGAAGACGTCCGAGTCCGCCCGGTAGGAGAGCGTCCAGTTGAAGAGGTTACTTGCCAGGCTTCGCAGCCCCGGGGAGTGCGACGGCGACTCGAAGTTCATCCAAACCCAGCGCTGCCCCGGGGGCCTGGGGCCGGAGGTCGCCAGGGCTTCGGCCGCCGCCGCCGCTGCCGCTGCCTCCTCGTAGTCCAACATGCGCAGCTCCAGCTCCTCCGCAGTGCGCGCCTGGACGCCCCAGGGCGGGGGCCAGTCGGGGGGTCCCTTCACGAGGTCGCGGTGGTGGAAGAGCACGGCCTGAGCTTCTCCATAGGTCGCGCGGTCGGTTAGTAGGCGGCAGCCGCTGATGTTGAAGCGCAGCCGGCAGTCGGGGGGCGGCCTCGCAGCGCCGCCGCGCCTCCCGAAGGGCTCCCACCACAGCAGCACGCCCACCGGCCGCGGAGGGGTAGGCGGCGGCGGCGGCGGGGTCGGTGACGCCCAGGGCAACGGCGGCAGCTGTCCCCAGCAGGCGTAGGTGATCAGCGCGGTGCACGTCAAGCCGGCAGCCACCAGCGCCCAGACGGTCCACGGTAGCCCCCGTCCTCGGCGCCACCCGCGCCGCCCTCCCGCCGCTGCCGCCGCCGCCGGCCAGCCCGACGGCACCCTCATGGCGCGAACAGGCAGAGCTGCCTCCGCTCGCCACGCGTCCGCAGGCGTGGAGAAGCCGCACCGGCTCTCATGCTGCCGCTGCGGCTCCAGCCGTCTCTGCCGCTCGCCGCTGGCCGGGGAGCGGGAGAGGGCGGTCCCGGAATCCAAAGGCCGCGGGCCCAGCCCAGCTCCTCCCGAGTGCTGGGCGGGGCGCGCCGCCAGGGCAAGGTAAGCTGGCCAGGACGCCCAGCTGGGCGCCGCCCATCCCCTCCCGCCACTGGGCCTGGGGCCCGGCCGGCCAGACCAGGCCCGGGGAGCCCACTCCTTCTTCCATCCCGCGCCCGGGGGCACCCGGGCCGCACCCCACAGGCGCCTCATCCGCTACTCTGATCCTATCTCAGCTGAAACGGTCTCCCTCTGGGGCACGCCCACCACCCGGAACTCGCTCACGGTGGCCCAAACCCTCGCTTCCAGAGGGAAGCCCCGGTTCATCCCAGGGAAGGTGCAGGGGGCGCGAGATCTTCCAAAGCCGCGGCAGCGCAGGAACAGGCGCTGGAACAGACGGAAGGCCGACCGGGCGCCGCTGGACGGAGGATCCGCGTCTGCTTCCTGCAGCTGGGCCCAGCCACCAGCCAGCGACGCCCGCCGGAGGGAGGGATTGAGGGAGGGAGGGAGTCCAGAGGCCGCGGGAACGTGCGAGCAGAGGCGCCGCCACAGCGTCTGTGGCCAGGACCTCGTGGTCAGTCGAGACGGGCGGGTTGTGGAGGCAGTCCCCAGCGGCGTGGCCTTCACAGGCTGTGCATTTAGTGAAACTTAAGTTTTCAATGTGAGTGTTCTTAAGAACATTCTCTTTGCCTGCCAGCCCAGTAAAGGATAGAGAACAAAATGTTTTCTTAGCAATCAAAACATGTTGCTTCCTTTGGTCCCCTACCCAATAGGTCTGACTTGCCGGCTCATAGTAGTATTCCTTGTACCAGGTCGTTCAGGACTCATAAACCAAAGATGAAGATGTGCCCCTCGAGGCCCTTGGCGTCAAGGAATTTATTGCTTATTCAGTGAGATGAATGAATGAACATCACTATTAATTTTACCTGGCACTTAAGAAACAATTTCTGCACTGATGAAAATTATGCAAAAGACTTTGGATTATAAAATGATGATGAAGATATTCTAGCACCCAAGTTAAGGATATAAAGACATTATCACACTGGCCTCTTCTGCTTTATTAGTGAGTCGACACTGGAGACATCTACGCCTGCAGTCACTTGAGCAATTTTTTACCGATGGGTTGAATTTAAATTTCTGGGTTTTGGCTCTGGTTTATGATATTCAACTTTTATTCAGGGGATAAATAAATAGATCAGGGGCGGGGCTGCTGACCTAAGGAGAGGAGGTAGTTTTGAGAGAATTTATAGTAGATCACAGCTGTTCATTAGTGGAGTCCCAGCCTAGTGTGTTAAAAGTCACAGGATATTAGGGAGAAATAGATATTGCTGGGAATGGGGCAATCCTGCCAGGTGTTTTTAATATTATGCCTATAGAAAATAAACTTGGATTAGCCATATGAATTTATTGCTAAGAATGTTTTCATTAAAAATCAAGTATAGAGTGTAAAAGCTTCTATAAAAGTGATTTCAGGTGGTGCTGTCTGCAGGGCCGCAGCCTGTTTGGAGGGTGGATGGACGGTGTTAGGTGTTCTGGCTAGGCCCATCAACTTCGTGACATTTCCTCCTAAACGCTAAAACCTTTCATAATGTTTCCGGTTTTTTTTTTTTTTTTTTTTTTTTTTTTTTTTTTTTTTTTTTTTTTTTTTTTTTTTTTTTTTTTTTTTTTGTTTTGTTTTTTGTTGTTGTTGTTGGTTGGTTGGTTTGAAAAGCAGAAGTCAGAAATCAAATATTTTATTTGAAATTAGACATTTCAGTGACTTTTCCACTCTTATTTTTAATTAAAAGAAAAAGCTATAAATACACAAATAATTGGCTTCAACCAAATAAAGGAAAAAGTTATTGGCTTCTCTTTTTATGCAATTCAAGAATCCAGCCGTTTATTCACATTCTTCTCCCACTTAGGTTAAATAAGACATCACAGATAGAGCCTACCATGGTGCCCAGAACACGTCAGGTAGGCATTTGGGAAATATTTTCCTGCTTGATTGCTTCCTTCCCCCACTCCCGATTTTCTCTTAAGCCTCCAAATGTTCTGTATAAGCTATCTTTTTACCTGAAGAATGCCCGAGCTCTGGTGCACATCAGTTTTCTTTGTGTTCAGTTACCTCATTAGGGTTGAGACCACAAAGTGCCCTACTATAATATTCTTAGTTGGTATGAGAGGAGGGGATACTAGGCAGTAAGGTGTGGCTGGATCAATGAAAACCAGTCATCACTTCGCAAACTGCTGAGTGAAGGTCATATTTGGTCATTGTGCATCTCATGTACAAACATTCACAGGGGACTGGATTGTTCTTATTTTAAAAGAACCACTGGTAGGGTAGAGGGGAGGGAAAACGAGGAAAGGAATTATGGGAAAGTAATAAATTTACTCACTCATTTAACAAATTGGGAAACAAATGGAAAACTGTTTCTATCTTCAAAAATCTATGAGAGAAACATAGTGGGGAGGGAAGGGATCATGGAAGACTTTGAGAAGGTGGCTCTTGGAATAATTAGGAATCATTACAATGGAGAGGAAGAGGGCTGTGTTAGTCCCCACAGAGGGAGCAGCACTGCAGAGGCCAGGCAGGGAAGACTGCGGCAGTAGGCAAGGAATTACTAGGGTATAGTTTGGCGAAGGGGATGGGGTTTTATCCTGCAGGCTGTCGGGAAAGTGCTTGGAAGGCTTTAACATAGGAAGGAAGCAATATTATGAGATTTTTATTTTTAAAATGAATTCTTATTTTTATTATGTATGAGGAGGGTATGTGGATGACTTGAGGAAGGCTGCAGAATGCTGGCCGTGTTGGTTAATGTAGGCGCTGGTTAATGAGTGTGTGTTGGTTAAGGAAATTTATCAGACTTTATGCTCACATATGTACTTTTATGGGTAGATACTATGCTTTAGAGAAAAAGTTTCTAAGAAAAAAAATTCATTAGTAAAGAGTGAGTTGGGTAAAAACAGGGTAAGAGTAGGGGTGTGGTGTTCCGTTGGAAAGTTATTGCTGTAATTCAGTTGTAAAATAAAGAGGGCCTGAACTGAGACAGTAGCTGTGAGGATGAGGAAGAAAATTAGAGGAGGATAGATTCAGAGAGATCTAGGAGGGTGGTTCCTTTCTTTAGGAAGCCTTTCTGCTTACCCACAAACATACATCCAAGGTAGTTTACATGGCTCTCCTGTGCTGTCTCATACATGTACTGTTCAGAACATCATAGGGCATTCAGAGATCATGACTGTTTCATTCATAACTCCATCCTGAGCACCCACAACAAAACCAGGCATCTGGTAGTGTTCATCATCTCAATGAATATTTTTTTGAATGAATGAATGCTCTTAATGTATGACTGAAATTATCTGTTGATATCTCTTTCCCCACTACAAAATGAGAAGGCATCTGACAATTTTAGCTATGTGAATGGCTTGCTATGACCTTGAGATGTCCCTAAAGCTTTCAGTGGAAAATATTGTACACGTGTTAATCATAGTCCTGGTGACAGGCATCAGAAATGTATCAAATTAGGCTGTTCTCATTGGCCGAACCTGGAACGAGTGCTCATTCTTGAAGCAATCACAGTAGTCAGGGAATATGTACTCTCTTTAGACTGTCCTCTGGAGCTAGAATCAATCCCATTTTAATAACAGAAGTGGAATAATCTGTTATTCTTGAATAATGGTGCGGAGACATAAGTTACCCAAAAGAAAAAATGAGGTGGTGTTACCTGAAAAAGAGGGAAAGGATGCTGGTTGGGCAAAACATGTCTGCTACCCACGTGGAAGGAGATATTACTATTCTTAAAATGAAGAGTTTGGACTAAATGAACTCTAAATCATCTTAGATTTGGAACATGGAAGAACATTCTATGATTCTTTTACATTTGGTGACAATAAATGATTCTTTGTGTATTTAAAGTCCTCTCCGTTTCCACAGAATATTGCACGGAAAGGACTGGATTTCACTTGCAAGCATGAAGACACGATCAGGAATGGAGAAGAGTCTATGCGCCCTGAGGTTGCAAAAGTAGTGTAGCAGAAAGCTCCACAATTCAAGACTCAATTTATGATGCCGATTGAGCAATCAACTCACAACATGCCAAAAGTAACTTATTCGGTTCCAAAATTTTATATTGGACAGGATTCTTTGGGAGCAAGAACCAGGCCAACTGTGGTTCCTAAAATTCAAACTCATTCCTTATTCTTTCTCAAGGAAACAGTTCATTTGATAATAAGACTATCGTAGTTCATTTTAAAGCCTCTCCCAGTGTTACTCATGGAAGAGAGATCTGATGTTTCCTTTGGAAGCCCCAGAATAGGTTCTGACAGCCTAGCTTTCCAGGTGGAGCCAAGCTCTGTCAGCATAAGCTCCCTGAGATTCAGGCTACCCTCAAGTGGGCTGTTACCCTTGGTTGGATCTGAGATTTCTGTTACTGAACATTGGCCTGCTAAGTATGTTTTAAATGTTTTTCCTTGAAGAGAGAAAAAGGCAGTTGAGTCCCTTATTATGTACTTACCAGGAAATGGTGAGCGTATCAGTGAGCAGGTGTTAGAATGGCTAATCTGTGTGCAAATAGGTGGAGACAGTTGACTTTGTCAGCATCAATTTTTTAACTATGTATAATTGGACAGATAAGTATGGAATGGACTGTTGGTTAAAAATCAAAAATTGTGTACAATCAATGACACTCACAGTTTATTGTTCATTACCCTGCTAAATCATTTATAGAAAAATAAAACTGCTGGATGCGGTGGTTCATGCCTGTAATCCTAGCAGTTTGGGAGGCTGAGGCGGGCAAACCACATAAGGTCAGGAGTTCGAGACCAGCCTGGCCAACATGGTGAAAACCTGTCTTTTCTAAAAATACAAAGAAAAATATCCAGTATACCTTAAACAATCTCTAGGTTACTTTTATTACCTAATAAAATGTAAATGCTATGTAAATAGTTGTTATACTCTATTGTTGAAGGAGTAATGACCAAAAAAAAAAAAAAGGTCTGTACATATTCAGTAGAGACAGAACCATTCTTTTTTTTCCCTGAGTATTTTCAATCCAAGTTTAGTTGACCTTGATAATCTAAGGATATGAAACACACAGCTATAGAGGCTGACTGTATTTTCATGATATATATTTCAAGGGTTTAACCTCTACATTCTTGTTGTCAAACTCCTTTTCCTAAAATAGCGTTTATTTTGAGTCACATGGAAAAAATTATAGAATACAAGGCTTACACAAAATAAAATTATTTTGACATTGAGAAAAATATGTTAATATGACACAGTGCAATGCCTGACACATGCCTGACACGTATTTAATACATATTTATTAAATTAATGAATGAATGAACATCACTATTAATTTTACATTT